TACCGGTTATTTTCAATTGGTGGAATGAAGTAAATTGGGTACAACAGGTAGTTTTCGCAATTTGACTTGATTTCGCTGCCTCCACAGAAAAAAATGAGGAAGTAAATGGTTTAAATCCTAAACATCTGCTCTTTAACTCATCTGGATGTGTTATCTAATTCTAAGCATATTTTGTCTCGAACAGCTGCTCCGCAATAAAAATATTGAATAATAAATAATAAAAATATCTTTTAATCAAGCTTTAATATCACATAGACAGATTAAGATGCAGTTTTCCTCTTCACCAAGTCAAATCAAAGTTCCAGCATAATGTTCATACTGTTGAAGTCTTGGAGGTCTTCATAAGCATGGTCAATAGTCCAGCTGGTCACGTCCACTGCCCTCCCTCTGTCCAGGAGTATGTGTTTCGGGTGGATCCCGGGACCAGCCTGGGGCTCAGCTCAGACAGCATTGTCAGCTACAGGATGGGCGAGGTGATTCGCTCCCACACCTCTGAAGTGCCTGAGCTCTTACCCTGTGGCTACCTGGTGGGCGACAACAACATTATCAAAGTTAATCTTAAAGGTATGCCTGCAACGAACTTCATTTTCAGGATTCCACCATGATTACATATGAAATCCAGATGTTGCAGCCAGTAAGGAACACGTCTAAAGATCTCAAGAATCCACATGAGATTGCTACATTTGTTCTGGATTTCATGATGAAGTCATTTGGCCACCGTTTTGATAATAACCCAAGAACTTGAGATAATCCAAGAAGAGTATTCCTTCCTCATCTGTCTCTATGTCTCTCTCATCGTAGGCTTGAAGGAGAACAGCATAGACAGCCTTGTGTTTGACACTCTCATTCCAAAGCCCATAATCCAGCGGTACCTCAACCTGTTGATGGAGCACCGGCGGATCATCCTCTCCGGACCCAGTGGCACAGGAAAATCCTTCCTCGCTGCCAAGTTGGCTGAGTTCATTATTTCCCAGATGGGGCAGGAAGTGACAGAGCATAATGTGGCCAGTTTCAATGTGGACCAGAATTCCAGCAAGGTAGGATAAGTAGCATGGTTTCTTTTTATTCCAGATTTTGGACATTACTGCCCAGCGTTTTTAACTCAGCACAGAATTCTCCATCATATTGGGATCAGTTATTTTTTCCACTCAATTTCTAAAAGTAAATGAAAGCATTTTTTTCCTAAAGAGACGACGATTGAAATGTGTGATATGTGTAGAAAGTGTCTTGCTAAACAGTCTTACTAGTATATTTATCCATTAGCTAATTAAATGCGTTCAAAACTAGAGAGCCATTTTATTGCCTATATAGATATATAGTGTATTTAGAATAGATTTTCCTTGTTTAATCAAAGTAACTTATTCTTCATCAGAGCAGTTCCTCTTTCACAATCCAGACGTTCGGTTTCCTTTAAAGAACGTTATTATATGTCACATTTAAAAATGTTCAATGGGAAACAATACACAGAAAACAATTACAGGATTAAATTATTTGTCAGCTGATCCAAATGGTAAACATTTGTTCTCATAAATTCCTTTTGTATGAGCATTTTACTCCTTTGTCTCTCTGTGAGAAATTCTATACACAGCATGTTATTCCTACAATTCCTCATATTCAAAGTAAAACAATTATGCTGATTATTAAGCTTTATGTAAGAAATCCTGTTTTTGCTTATGCTTCAGACTCAAGTCTGATTCATTGCAACCAGCTAAATTCACCATTACATTCATAAATTTGAAAATATGTTGGGTATCTCTTCCACCAGCAAAGTAGATTTTGTATTCATCCAAAGCTTTTTAGTTCTGTACAAACCACTACTGGAGCACATTTTGGTAGATCTTGTGATAGACGCAAAAAACTATTCTAAAGGAAGGCAAGTGACGGAGCTCTGAAAATGTTTTAACCTCGAGTCACTTAAAGCTGGGACCCCTGAAAACTGGAGACAAATGGCTGACTGGCTGAATACTTTGTATGGATTCTTTTTGTGCAGCTGTGTTGTTCACATTCTTGTAGTGAGTTGTTTCACCATCTGCTTCCTTGAATATTAGCTTTTTTGGCAGAATTGTATCATTATATCTCTGCAGTTCCTTCCAGCTTAACAAATAACTACGTCAACCAGAGTTGAAAGAAAACAATTAAATAAACTCCACAGGGCCTGTGATGCTAACATGCATTCCTCTAGCTGTTTTAAAAAATAATCCATTCATTCATTTATTTTTAACTTGGATTTTAAAATAAAATTACTTACTCTTTTCTACCAGTCAAGAGTTTATGCACACCAGCTTTTTTGATTAAATATAAAAGAAGGGAGTCCAAAATTTGCATTTAGACATCCTTCTTTACACAGGACCTGCGGCAGTACCTGTCTACCCTGGCGGAGCAGTGCAACTCTGAAGACACAGATGTACAGCTCCCCTCTGTGGTCATCCTGGACAACTTGCACCATATTGGCTCTCTCAGTGACATATTCAATGGTTTCCTCAACTGCAAGTACCACAAATGGTGAGTCAGAGCTCATTTCTCCTCTGAACTCAAATACCTCTGGGGGATAGGCTGTAGTGTTGGTCACAGCTCTTGTCAAGTATGTTTACTTTTATTTACATGGCCTAAAGTCAAAGATCTTCTTCTTACGACAGGAGAAGCATTAATATGCTTGGATTATGGATTCAGACAAGAGAAAAAATGCCTATATCATGGGAGTAAAAGGCTGAGGAATCATTCATTGTTGTTGTTTTTGTCTCGTACAGCCCCTATGTTATTGGGACCATGAGCCAGGGAGTTTCCACCTCTCCCAACCTTGAACTTCACCACAACTTCAGGTTTGAAACCTTTCTTTATTTCACTTACACTGGCATGCCAAAGTTATTTGCTGTTGATGTGAAAATTTTAATAGGTCTAGTGTGAACAGTCCTGTAGGTTCACAATCAGTCTTTTTAATTTAAGATAGGATTGTGCTCAGTGTTGCGCTGATTAGAGAGCTCATTGTATGAAGTACCTTGGCATCCCAAATGATTTGAGCTGTGGGGTAATTTTCATTTAAAAAAATGTTTGCGTGTAAGGCATGTGACATTTTTTAATGATCAGGTTAAACAAAAGACTTTACAAATGGTTCCTATCACGTTAAAATTTAATATAACTGTAATTGAAAAGCTTATTATCATCAAACGTTGAAGTGAACATACTGTGGAAGGAAGTCTGGACAGCCTGAGATTCCCAATAATAAGTGATGACCCTGCATAGTATCCAAACTTCAGATCTGGGCCCTATATTCCCCTGTTTTTTGTATATTGTATATTTATATATATTTGTTCACTCTATTTACAACAACTGAAATTTGATTTCCGACTCTTGCTGTGTTGACCATTCCTATGCATTATTAATAATCTTACATTTATAAAAAAGAAAATTAAAACTCTGAATATTATGTGTGTGTGTGTGAGAAAAGATTGTAAACTGAAAGCATTCTTCCACAGGGAGTGCTGTGATTATGTCTGCTGGATAATTGGTCTTGCTAAATTAAAATTAATGAGCTGTGATGCATGTTCAGTGTGGGGATCATTTCTGCTTGGCATGTTTGACTTACTGATGATTTGACAAATAAAATGCGATTATAGAATGCTTATCATGAGATAGGCAATGATTTAAGATTACTATCAGATTATAAATAATGGGATATAATGCTTATGAAACATATAGAAGAAATGTCCTTACATTTGGTATTTTATCAAGAGTAAGAATAAATCACTTTGATGAGAAATCTCATTTGCAGTTAAGTTGACAGACAGCATTAGCCCCTCTGCTTCTGTTTAACCATCGGCCTTCTGTCCTGTGTAGGTGGGTTCTGTGCACCAACCACACAGAGCCAGTCAAAGGTTTTCTGGGGCGCTTCCTGAGGAGGAAGCTGATCGAGACAGAGATCAGTAAAAACATGCGCAGCAATGACCTGATTAAGATCATCGACTGGATCCCCAAGACCTGGCACCACCTCAACAGCTTCCTGGAGGCACACAGCTCCTCCGATGTCACTATTGGTCAGTTTAACACATTCTTTCTAAAGTACTGTTACATTCACGAGTGCTGCGACCCCTGTGGTGTCCTGTTTTAGACACTATCTCTATCACACAATCGCCTCTTGTTATATTTCTAACAGGACATTTAAAGTGACTGAATGTTCCGGTCAATTTTCCCATTTCTCCGTTCTTAGTTAAGCTGTGTGATGTGTTTTTCACCTGTCATCTGTGTTTGTTTGTCCCTACAGGACCTCGTCTCTTCCTGTCCTGTCCCTTGGAAGCGGAAGGCTCTCGGGTTTGGTTCACTGACCTGTGGAACTACTCCCTCGTTCCCTACCTGCTAGAGGCTGTGCGAGAAGGCCTACAGGTACAACCTAGTAACGCATCTATCTAACTTCCAGAATTGCAAGTTAAAAATTTTCCACAATTCCTATGAATTCTTGTAATGTTGGAGTAAACTTTCAATTTAATTTCCAATCAATTCTTGCACTAAACGGTAATCCATCCTGCAGCTTTACGGTAAAAGAGCCGCATGGGAAGATCCCTCCAAATGGGTGAACGACACGTATCCGTGGAACATCGCCTCACTGCAGCAAGATGGGCAGACTTTGCTCCAGCTTCGGCCAGAGGATGTGGGCTATGACAGCTACACCTCATCCAAGGAGGGGACATCGTCCAAGCAAGTGTCTCAGAGCGACACTGAGGGAGACCCATTGGTGAGGACAGGAGCTGTGCTATTACAGGGCTCACTGCGGAGGGTTTAGAGCAGTTCATCGACCTGTAGAATTTGGAGGCATCGTCACGGCTTTGATAAAAGCACAATGCTGAAGAAGGTTTAAGCTATTTTATTTTTTTTTTTACAATCCTTTAGGAGACAAAACCCATGCCCTGTCTTGGTCCCAGTTTTGACCACTAAAAGGCTTGAATCGTAGTC